TCCCATCCTGCTCCAAGGCTTCCCATCCTGTCCTGCATGGTCCTAAACTACCCCGTAGGGTCCCATCCTGCTCTGTGGGCACTGAGCATCCCCAGTAGGGTCCAACCCCCCCCCCGTGGGTTCCAGTCCTGTCCCATGGGGTCCCATCCTGTCCCATGCAGTCCTGCAGCCTCAAACGTGTCTCTGGAGGGTCCGATCCTGCCCTGGGGGGCGGCGCGGGCTGGGGGAGGCAGCTGGAGGCAGGACAGCGGCGGGGACGGACACTCACCGCGTGCCAAACGGCAGAGCCGGGAGTTAAAAATACCCGTGGGGGCCCTGCCGACGGAAGTGGAGGTGTCGGCACCGGCTGCTCGGGGCCGGGGGGGGGCCATGCTCGGGTGTCCCGGCCCCCGCCGGGGACCCTCGTACCCAGCACCGGGACCCCACAGCGAGGTGGGCGGCAGCAGCGGCCGCTGGGTCCCGGCACCCCCAAAAGCACGGGGCAGGAGGAGCAGCCCCGTCCCCCACCCCGGGGTGTGGGGGGGGAAGGGGGGGCACCCCCAGCCCGGCGTGCGCCCCCCGCCACGGCCGCGGCACCACCGAAGGACCTTCGGGAAATGCAAAGTGACAAATGAGGCCCCGCGCGCGTTAATTGATGTGACACGGGGCTGACACCGCGCTCGCACCCGGGGAACAGGGAAGGGAAGGGCGGGTTGGAGGGGGGGGCTGGGGGGGAAATAATTCCAATCAAATGTTAAAAATAGGTCACGGGGAAGGAGCCGGAGCCGGTTTCATTTCAGCCGCGGGTTAAAAGGAGCCGCCCGCGGGTCCGGCGGCACCGTGTGAGCCCGGGCGGCAGCGGCGGGGGGGTTGAAAATGAGGGAGGGGTGCGATGGAGACGATGGGGGTGGGATGTGCCATCCACCCCAGCCCCAAACCCCACTTGCCTGAGGCTCTGCTGACCAAACAGGGCCAGATTTGTGCCCAGGACGCCGCCGCGGCGGCCCTGGAGGGCTTTGGGACACCCGCAGTTTTCCAGTGGGAAGCGGCGGGAGCGCCGGGCCGTGACCCCAGGAGGGTGTCCCGGTGCCGGGGTGGCCTCTCCGGCCGCAGCCGCGGTGCCGGCGGGTCACGGGGAGTTCAGGCTGCCGGCGCGGGTGTCGATGGCCCGCGGGCGCCCGCCGGGTGCTGCGTTTTGGGCCACCGGCCAGCGCGGGGCCACCCGCGGGTCGTGTCCATCACGGCCCCACGCGTCCCCGTGGCCGCGGTGACCCGCAGCGACAGCCGAGGAGCAGCTCCCTGCGGACACATCTGGCCACCACCGCGTCGTCCCCGAGAGCCACTCAGGGACCCCAAGAGCCACTCAGGGACCAGCATGACGGAGCATCACTCCCTGCATCCCACCCTGGTGGCAAGCGGGGGCAGGGGGTGCCAGGGCGCGGGGGGGGATTTGGGGAGAGCGGGGGTGTTGCCTTCCACCAGACCCCCCTGTGGATGCTCGATCCGGGTGACCCCGAGTTTAACCCCACTTACGGCGCCGGCAGACGCTGCCCCCGACGCAGATGGGTTGTGACAGCCGAGAAGTCCCCCCCGGCAGGCGCTGGCGAGGCGCTGGCCGCGGCAGTGGGGAGGGGGGGGTGCGAGCCCCGTGTCGCGGCGCGTTGGCTCCGTCACCTCCCCGCAGCGAGACGGCGGGTCCCGAGCGCGGGGCCGGGGTCGGGCCGGCAGCTCGAGGGTCCCCGGGGGGCCCGGTGGCACTTGTCTCTCCGCAGCAGCCGTGATGGCGCTGGGCACATGGCAGCCGGGGCTCTGTGTGTTTGTGTCCCCCCGCTGTCATTTGAGGCCGCGGCCCCCCCTCCTCCCCCCCGATGGTTGGGAACGGGGAGGGGGGTCACCGCAGATGGATGGGAAAGAGATGATCCCATCGCGGGGATGAGGGAGGACACTGGGGTGGTTTGTCCGGGAGGGGACGTGGCACATCCTGGGTGTGAAGGGTTGGAGGTCCCTGTCACTACAGCCCCCCCGACCCCTCCTCAAGGCGGTGGGGAGGGCGAGGCACGTGCGAAAACCTTGTGTCTCTCCAGCAGCAGCATCTGCGAGAGGTCAGGCAGCTGCCGGCACACGTGTGGGACGGGGACAGCAGCCAGCGGGGACGGGGCTGGCAGGGGAGGGACAGGGTGACAGGCGGCTGCTGCTGCAGGGCAGGAGAGCCGGGTATCCCGGGGCCAGAGGGATGCAGGGAACTGGTGCCCGAGGTGGATTCAGGTACCTGGGGACCATGAGGGCACCCTGGAGTGATGCTGGCACTGGGTGTCCGGTTGGACACAGGGATGATGTTGGCACCAGGAGCTCTGTTGGGTGCGGGTATCCAGGATACCTGGGGTGATGTGGGCACCCTGGGGTGATGTGGGAGAAGCTGAGGTGCAGCAGCACCGTCTCCTTTTGCAGAAAACGCAGCCCAAGAGCCGAAGCACGGGGCCAAAGCGCTTGTTCCAAGGGATGGGCAGAGCCCCCGGTGCCAGTCGGGGTCCCTCCCCCCCAAGGCATCCCCTCCATTTCTTATAAACGCCTCTGGCACGGCTCCGCCGTGACACGGCAGCTCTGGGGCTTTGTGGTTAAACCCCAGGGCTCCGGCTTTGACTCACACCCGATCCCCCGCGCTGAGGGGCCTTTCGGGGCGCCCACGGCTGGAAAGAAACGCTCACCCCGGCAGGAGAGCCGGGCGCTTCCTCGCACAGCCGTTTCCTATAAACCGAGGGACCCGGGCAGGAGCTGCCACCGCGGCCCCGGAGCCAGGTCGGGAGTCCCCTGGAGCCCTCCTGGATCCGGGAGGGGCAATGGGAATTACTCTGCCCTGCTTTGGGAGGATCGACTGGGGAGTGCAGGTGACCCTCTTCGGTGGACAAAGTTGGAAGGACAAACAGCCAGGGAAAGACAGGAGCATAAACTTAACAGGAGTCAGAGAATCCCCTACGTGCATCCAGAGGGACCAGGCCACTCATTCCTGCACGGAGCTGGCTCCAAACTCCCAGGGATGGAGTAGGGGCATCCCTGGTCCCCTCTCCTCCCTCAGCCCAGCACCTCCCTACAGGGGAAAGAGGGGCCCGAGCAGTGAGAATTGTTTCGTTTTTCCCCTAAATGATAAAAACACCAAGAAAAGGGGAAAAAAAACCCAACACCAAAAAACCAACAAACCTGAAAGCTGGAAAAAGAAACCTTAAACCTGCCCAGAATAAGAGGGGGTTTTGGTGGGAAAAACAGTAACATTAAAGAAGGCTGTCACTTAGGAAATGGTGAGGTGTGACCCACCAGCACGGGGACATGGGGGACACTGGGGACATGGACACAGAGGGCAGTGGGGGCACAGCGGGGTGGGAAGGGGGCAGCCCGGGGCACCACCAGCACCCCGACCCCTCCCAGCACCGCAACAAGGAGCAGGGCAGCCCCCAGGCAGCGGATTTGGGGTGCCGGGACCCCCCTAAACTCGCGCGAGCCTCATGGGGACACATCTGCACCGAGTGACACTTGTCCTGGATCTCCTCCCGCCCGGCCCGGGAGCCGGGGAAGGGACGGCGGTTTCGGGGGGCCTGGGGGGTCCCCGCGGCCCGGGGGGAGCCCGGCAGCCTCCTGAGTCAGCGGCACCGCCCCCGGGGGGAAGCGGCTCCGGGAGGGTGCCGGGATGAGTAACGGCCCCGCCGTTTGACATTTATCACGTGATTTCAAAAAAGAGAGAGAGAACCCCGGGGTGGGGACCGGGCACCCCCCCGACCGCAGCCAGGTCCCTCCTCCGCCCCCGACCCGGTGCGGTTCCAGTCCCGGCCGCTGGACGGGAGGAGAAGGAGCCCGGTCAGAGCTGATGCCACCCCAGGATCCGTCCCCTCCTGGTGACTTTTGGGACCCTTCCCTGCAGCATCACCGCGTCCCCCCCGGCTCAGCCCCGCGGCTCCGGGCACTGGCGCTGCCCGCCCGAGGGGCCGGGTCCTGCCCTTCCTCCCCCTGCCCTGGCACAGGCGGAGATGAGGCGGCGATAAGGCGGCGGCACCGAGCCTATCTCCTTCACACCATCGGCCCGCAGCACTGGGAACCGGCTTCGCACCCTGCTCGGGGCTGGGCTGGGCTCAGGGGGCCGGCACAGACCCCCCCGCCCCCGCCTCTCGCAGCCTGCCCGGGCAGGGCGGGCAGAGAACGGGTGCAGCTCATCCCACGGGTGTTCCCTGCCGGAGCCAGCAGGTGGGATTTTCCACGAGAGGCCGAGTCGGGGGTTGTTTCAGCGCCGGGGTCGTGCGCCCTCAGCCCCACGGGGTGTAAAAATCCCCACAGGGCAGCCCCGGACCCTCAGCCCGCTGGTGGGGAGGCTGTAGGACCTACAAGAACACAGAGAAGGGGATCTTGGCGGTGCTACCCCAGCCGTGGTACCCATGGGGGGGGAGGGATGGGGGTCCATAGGGAAGACCCTTCCCCCAGGATATCCAGGAGGATCCCACTGGACCCCCAAGCTCTGCAAGGGGAGCCACCCCTCATTGGCTGTGCCAGACCCAGGCTCACCCCCTTCCCCATCCCCATCCCCGGGGGGGCCACATGCAGCCTGGACCCCCCTCCCCTTCCCCAGGGCCCCAAAGAGAGGAGATGGCTTCGCCCCCTCCGTGGCATTTTGGGCGCTGGAAAGGTTTTATTGGGGTCGGTGGCATCGCAGCGGGGGCGGGTCCCTCTGCCCGGTGGGTCCCGGGGCAGGGGGGGGGTCGCACCCGGTCGAGCCCCCGGGGGTGCGGGGGGGGGGGGGATGTGCGCTGTGACACGGGGGGGACATGCAGCGCAGAGCGGCTCAGTGAGGGGGGGACAGTGCTGCGGACCCCCCTCTCCCGGCGGCGTTGAGGTAGATTGAACGTGGGGGGACGGGGTGGGGGGCTCAGGGTGAGCAGCCGCCTGCAGCCCCCCGGCCAAAGCAGGGGGGTCTGAGGGGGGATGAGGGGGGCTGCTGGGGGGCTGCGCTGTCCCCACGCCGGGGGGGAGGTGTCAGGAAGAGCCCCCAGGGCCACGGAGCCCAGTGTAATGTGGGGAGAGGGGTCCTTGCTGCATCCCGGGGTTCATTTCTCAGCAGCATCTTTAGGGGGAGGGGGAGAAACTGAGGGGAGGGGGTGCTTTTAGTGTAAAAGGTGCTTGAACTGGTGGGATGAGGAGAGCGGGACTGAGAACAAGCAGCTGCCCCTCCCTCCTGCCCCCCCAAACCCCAGCTCTGATCCCAGGAGCAGGGGAAAGGGCAGCCCCTTCCCCTCACCCACTTCCTGGGGGCCGGATCCAGGACCCGGCCCCTCGGATCCTCCCTGAGATCAAGCAGCGACACCCGAGGGTGCAGAGGACACCCAAGGGCACAGACAGGTCCCCTCCAGCCACCATCTGGGATGGCGTGATCCTGGCACCCCAATTCCAGCATCCAAACCTGGCACGGATGCAGGGACGGGGCGAGGAACCCACTTACAGGGGGCTGGGGGGTTCTGGGGGGCTCCGGGGTTGGGGGGGGGGGCTCAGTCTTTCTGTAGCTACTGAAGACTTGGAGGTATTTCGGGAGCCTTGGAGCTCCTGGAGTGTTCTCATGCAGCATCCAAAGGTCGGGAAGGGACAGGGGGAAGGCTCAGATCTTGCTGTTCTCCAGGTGGGAGTCGATGTGCTTCACCAGGGCGTCATCCGGGTACCCGATGGGGAAGGCCAGCTGGCACAGGGGGCAGCTCCTCACCTCCGAGTCCACCGTCTCCAGCAGCAGCTGTGGGGGGGCACAGGGGTGGTGCTGAGACCCCCAGGGTGGCCACATCCCGCTCCCCCCCTCCATCTCCTCCCTGGAACATTCCAGGCGCCGGGACCGAGGCGGGTGGAATCCGAGGCCTGTGGGGTGGGTTGATGCTTCCCGCCCTACAACCACCCCCTCCCCACAACACCCCCCTAGGGGGGGTGAGGGGCCTGGGGGTGCCACTCACGTTGATGGAGGGCCAGGACTGGGCGTGCTCTGCCCGGGCGTAGGCGGCAGCCGTGCGGTGCAGGGCGTCGGCGTCGGGCGCGGGGAAGCCGGCGCAGAAGGAGGCGCAGCGGATGGCGCCGGCCTCGGGGCTGGGGGGGCTGGGCAGGGCCCACTCCTCCTCGTCCGACGACTGCTTCTCGAAGCGCACGTGCTCCTCGAAGGGCTCGTGGGCGCTCAGGGGGGCCCCCGCGCCCCCCAGGTACACCTCCCCATAGGGCCGGTGCTTGGGCAGCGTGGAGGCCTCGGGCTGCAGCCAGGGCGAGCGGCTCTGCTGGTACAGGGCCACGTTGGTCACCTCCGAGTAGCTGCGGCGGCCCTGGAAGCCGGCTTTGATGTGGCGGCTGGAGGGTTTGGCGTAGCCCAGCTCCATCCTCTCGCCGGGCAGGCGGTGCGGGGACGCCGAGGCGGGGGACGGGCAGGGCGGTGGCGGCGCTGGGGACCGGCGCTGCTGGGCGGGGGACTGGCTGGAGGGGGGCACGGGGGAGCGGCGCTGCTGGGCGGGGGACTGGCAGGGGCCAGGGGCTGGCGAGCGGCGCTGCTGGGCCGGCGACTGGCAGGGGGGACCAGGCGAGCGGCGCTGCAGGGCGGGGGATTGGCACTGGGAGCGCCCCGGCGGGGCGGGAGAGGGGCACTGAGGGGCAGGAGAGCGGCGCTGCTGGGCCGGGGAGTGGCACTGGGACAGCGGGGAGTGGCACTGGGACAGCGGGGAGTGGCACTGGGACAGCGGGGAGTGGCGCTGGCCTGGAAAAGGAAAACACACACAAACCCCCCAGGTTAGCTCGGTGGTGGGGAAAACATCCCTCGGCATCCCCGATGGAGGGGGGATGTGGCTGTGGGGACCACCAGAGGGAGGGGTGTGTCTGGGGTGGGACAATCCTTGGGGGGGGATGCTTTTGGAGGGGGATGCACCCAAGGATGGATGCTCCCAGGCATGGGTGCTCCCAGGTATGGATTGTCCCACGTATGGATGCCCTTGGGGTGGGA